TACAGCAAGTAAATGTCCTAATTGAGGACATGACACTCTAGAGGTGGATGTGACACACACTCTGAGACCTTGAACAGCTGGAAAGACAGGGACTTAGGAGGCCTGCAGCACACAGGGTGAGATTATGAGGCCGAGCTGAGGACGTGGAAACTATATCGAGGAGAGAGTGTTGGCATGGTTGGGGAACCCAACAGCTGGGAGGGGTGAGGAAAATCCAACTGTTGTCAGGTTCTGAGGTGAGTGAGTCAGGACACAGGGACATTCAACAGAAGTGGGGAAACAGTCCACTCTTGTCTTTTGACTGTACATATGGTGCATGTTTACAGATTTCTGAGGAATTTAGGGTGAGGAGACATTTTCAAACAAGATAGGAGGGCCAGAAACCAAAAAAGAAACATAGTCATACTTAACCATGTAAATATTAAAATCCAGCCAGGCACGGTGGCTCACGCCTGTAATCCCAGCACTCTGGGAGGCCGAGGTAGGAGGCTCATTTGAGCTCAGGAGTTCGAGACCAGCCTGAGCAAGAGCAAGACCCCGTCTGTACCCAAAGTAGAAAAAATTAGCTGGGTGTGGTGGTGCAAGCCTGCAATCCCAGCTACTTGGGAGGCTGAGGCAGGAGGATCGCTTGAGCCCAGGAGTTTGAGGTTGCAGTGAGCTATGATCATGCCACTGTACTGTACCTGAGGCAACAGAGTGACAGGCTGTCTCGAAGAAGAAAAAAAAAGCTAAAATCCAATGGATGTAAATCTATTCCTAACACAAAGTCAAAAGCAATGGATAATTCTTGAAGACATTCTAAGTGAAATGAGCCAGTCACAAAAGGACAAATACTGTAGGATTCCACTCAGACGAGGTCCCTAGTGTAGCCAAATTCACAGAAAGCAGAATGGTGGGTGTCGGTGGCTGGGGAGGGGGAAATTGGGAATTAGCGTTGAAGGGGGCAGAGTTTGGGTTTGGGAAGATGAACAAGGTCTGCAGATGGAGGGTGGTGACGGTTGCACAACACTGTGAATGTGCTTAATGCCACTGAACTGTACGCTTAAAAATGGTTGCAGCAGTACATTTTATGCTGTGTATATTTTATCACAACTCAAAAAATGTCAAAGGCAAATGAGCAGCTGGTTCCTTGTCTGTAGCTGTGGCAGCCGCAGCTGAGTGGACCGAGCCGAGAGCGGACTCAAGATGGCGGCAGCTCCTCTAGCGCCTAATCGGCTCTCCGCGGGTAGGCACTTAGGAGTAGTCGGATTAGAGACAAGTGCAACATCTAATCTTCCAGCCTGGCCAGGGCCCCAGCTGGCAGCGAGGTGGGAGACACAGGGCCAGATCCGTCCTCCCTTTCCTTGGGGGCTGAGCCCTCAGCTCTCTCCAGCTCTGTCTGGGCGCCGCTGTGGCTTCTCTTCACCCACGTTTGCGCCGCATCCTGCTCTCCACCTCCCTCTCTCGCTCCCTCCGCTTTCATCCGTCCCTCGCAAGAGCGTGGGGCCCCAAATGAGCTTGCACTGTGCCTGGGGACACACGTGCCCACAGGGTGCTGGCTGACTTTCTAGGGCAGTAATCTGCTTTAGGCTAAAATGGGACTTGATCTTCTGTTAGCCCTAATCCTCGATTAGCGCCCAACTGTGCATGGGCCACGAAGGTCCAGAACTTCCTGCCTTTTCCGCCCTCCTCCCGCTGCTGCCACCTCTAGTCTCCTTCCCCAAGACATGGGTGGGATGGCACTAAGCTCAGGCATTAGCATAATCCCGGACAAGGGCAGGCAGGGGGCACAGGGGGCCAGCTCCATGGCTCCTCTACTGCCGGAGCCCCTCCTAGACGGCACATGGCCACGGCGGTGGCCTCAAAGGTTTTCCAAAGATGTGGCAGCCCTGAATGCCCACGGCAGCCTCCTGGGGGAGGCCAGGCAGAACTGGTTATCTCCCTGTACACAGAAGCAGAATCGGGGCTGAGAGGAAGGGGTCGCCCTGCCCAAGGCCACCTAGCCAGTACGTGGTAGTGCTGGGACAAGCCTGACCAGCCGTGCCATGCTCAGAATGGACCTGGTTGGGCAGGTGATCTCAGAGAAGGCCCATTTCTGGGTCTTACATTCTCATAGCCTCTGATTCTTTGACCCTGGTGGGGACAGGCAGATAAAGCTCTCTGGCACCCAGGAGGATGGAAAAGCATGGACTTGGAAATCACAATGACCTGGGGTTGAGTTCTGAGGAGTTGACCTTGTTACATCAAGCTACATTGTGAAGCCTATGGCCTTGGACACACCTCAGGCATCTAATCTGTAAAACAGGGACAACAACCACATTCACCTTGCGAGGAGGTTGGCGGGGCACACATAGTGACCTAGGAGCTCACCCCACAAGCATGGCCCTGCTGTAGCAGGCCCTCCACAGTCTCAAACGTGCTAGTGGAAATAAGTGAGTGCTATATCACTGAACAGTTCCAGTAGGTGGGTGATGCCCTTGTCATTAAGCATTCGCAAGTCTCTACTGAGCATCCATTACGTGCCTGGCCCCGTGTAAGCTACCGCAGGAGACTATGCTGCTTACAGGCAGAGTGCAAAGTCAATTTAGGGTGTCCCAGGTGGAGCAAAACCTCAGGGCAGCCATGGCTGCAGGATGTGGTCCAGAGGGGGACTTCAGGGCAGGGGCCGTGAGGCTGGGGTTTTCAGGGAGGTCTTCCCGCAGCGGGTACCTGGCTAGGCCCTAAAAAAGCACTTCGTTGAAAGATGAGAAGAGGAAAGACACTTGGTGGTTTTTAGTCTATTTACAGAGTTGTGCAGCCATTACTAGTATCTAATGTTTGAAACCATTTTAACATGTACAGTTGAGTGGCATTAAGCACATTGCCAGTGTTGTGCAGCCATCACCACCATCCATCTGCAGAACTTGTTCATCTTCCCAAACCCAAACTCCGTCCCCGTTAAACACTAACTCTCAATTGCCCCCTCCCCCAGCCCCTGGCACCCATCCTTCTGCTTTCTGTCTATGGATTTGACTACTCTAGGGCTCTCACAAATGGAATCCTACAGTATTTGTCCTTTCGTGACTGGCTCATGTCACTGAGCACAATGTCCTTAAGGGTCAGCCATGTTGGAGCATGTCTCAGAATTTCCTTCCCTTTTAAGGCTGAATTAGAGTCCATTATCTGGACAGACCACACTTTGTTTATCCATTTTTCCATCAGTGGACACTCAGGTTGCTTCCATCCTTTGGCTATTGTGACTACTGCTGTGAACATGGTGTACAGATATCTCTTGGAGACTCTGATTTCAAGTCCTTTAGGTATATACCCAAAAGGGGAGTTGCTGGATCTTATGATAATTCTATGTTTAATTTTTTGAGGAGCTGCCAAACTATTTTTTCACAGTGGCTGCACCATCACAATCTTATTTTAGAGCATTTTTATCACCCACAAAGGATTCCCTATACCCATTAAGGAGTCACTCTCCATTTCCTCTCCTCCCCATCCTGGCAGCCACTACTTCTGTCTCTGTGGATTTGCCTATTCTGTACATTTCATAGACATGGACTTGTACGCTGTGTGGCCTTTTGTGTCTGGCTTCTATCACTGAGCACGATGTCTTCAAGTTTCAGTACTTCATTCCTTGTTATGGACACATAATCTTTCATTGCACAGGTAGACCACATATTGTTTATTCATTCATCTGTTCATTAACTTTTAGGTTGTTTCTACCTTTTGGCCTATTATGAATAGTGCTGCTATGAATATTTATGTACAAGTTTCTGTGTGAACATACGTTTTCGATTCTCTCTTTACTATACAGGAGTAGCAGTGCCAGGTGCACCTTCTCTTGTAGTCAGTGAAAACACAGCTTACCAGGTGCCATTGGCCATCGAGCCCAGCTTTCTAGGCTGTGGCCAGGACTCTTTCCTTCCATCCCACACAGAGCCCCCAGCCCAGCACCTGGCATGTGGCAGGCACCGACCAATGCTAAAAGCCATTCTTGCTACAGGTAGCCACAATGGGGCTGCATGTAGCTCTGGCCTTCAGCTTGGCAGCCAGGGTTTCCCCTGTGCCTGCAGGAGGGGCCGTGTTGCCAGGAGCCCTAGGCATGGAGCCAGGAGTGCTGAAGGGTCACGGCCACTAGAAAGGAGATGCAAAGGCCACGAGCTCATGTCCTGGCTTCACGGAGCATAAGGAGCAAAGCCAGAGGAGGTACCTGAAGGCAGCTGAATTTGGGGACTGAGTGGAGAGGAGCTGCTGGAAGCCCCGAGAGAGAATGTACTTCCTAAGGAGAGCCTGTGGAGGGGGAACAGGGTCCTGGGTTGGAAACTGAGGTGAGACTACGGATTGGACATTAACAGGCAATCAGCGCCCCTGCCGGGCACGGAGCCAGCAGCACCCAGACTGTCGAGAGGGAGGCTGTGGCTGGGCAGCCCAAGGAAAGGTCGTGGACTCAGGGGAAGGGGGACTTGGGCAGGCAGGAGCTGAGCTCCCCACAGGCTCCTGCAGCTTGTGGGGAGTGGGGGGGGGAGCTGAAAGGGAAACGCACAGCGGAGCCCCCCAGGCCCACACTGCCGGAGTATTCCCCTGACCCCGGGGAAGGAGAAGCCCCACTGGTACATGTTGCAGCCATCTGGGCCCACAGAAATGGTCTGCCCGGCAAGGAGGCTCTAGTTCCAGGCCTTAGCCCTGAATGTCTTCCAGAGCTTTCAAAAGAACCAGATGAGAAAGGCAGCTGTAGGCTTTGGGCTGCTTCCCCCGCTGCATTCCAATCTGAAAATCCTGACCCTTGGGTCTGCATGACCTAAAAGCAGGCGCTGGACAGTGGAAGGGAACAGAGGACACATAAACATAAGCAAGAGCCACAGTGGCTCCCACAGGCACCTGAGGCGGTTGGGGGTTTGGAGTTTGGTTCCCAGCAAATCCCTCTGAGCTGCCCTCAAAGGAGCTGGGAGGAGAAGGTCTAAGTCCCAGGCCCAATTAAGAGATCAGATGGTGGAGGGTTTGGGAGCTTTTAAGGTGAGAAGGCCCAGGCTGATCCCACAGGCTGGTATAAAGTGCTGTAACCCCCTAGGCAATGTGCCAAGGCTGGCGGGCATCAGGGACAGGGCTTTCCACAGCCATGGCCCAGCAATGGGGACCCCACAGGTTTGCAGGCGGGCAGCCTCAGGACAGCCATGAGGACAGCACCCAGGCAAGCATCTTCACCTACACCAACAGCAACGCCACTAGAGGTGAGCGAGCAGGCACCCACCCCACCCGAGGGAATCTCTCTTCTGCACACCCCAATTCACTGCGAAGGTCTTCTCCTTACCTTTTATGATGACATGAATGGCGGGTTCCTTTCCTAATATGAAAGGACACCCTAATATTTAATATGCATTTTCAAACCACATAGGCTTCCCAAACCCTTTGAGAATGCATGGCCAGGCAAGAGTTTATAAACTCTAGGGTGGCCTCTAGATCGCTGTGTGCATTGCTAGTGAGCTCTAGTTACGTGAAAACACCCTGAGCTTCCTGGGGGAGGAGCGGGTCTGTCTTTACAAACACCTAGGAGCTGAAGGGGTGTCCTGAAGGCCTGCCTGCCCCATAGGGGGAAGCTGGGGAAGACAGCAGCAGAAGGCAAGAAACTTCTAGAACCTTAGGGTCCAAAGAGACTGTAGCAGTCATCTGGTCCAACTCCAGCCTGGGGCACGCAGCCTTTGGCTGCACACTTCTGCGGAGAAGAGGCTCGCTCAGTGCCCAGGGCAGCTTTTCCGTTTCAAGCAGTCGTGGGAGAGAGGCCTAGGCCCAACAGAGAGCAGATTTGTTCATGTGTTTTGACACGACCGATTTATCAGGAGACCGCCTCTTTTCTGGGGTGTTGGCAGCTACTGACACTCAATGCCCAGACCAATTAAACCACTGGGAATGCAAAATGATGACATTCTGACACCTAACTCTGTCTTCATCTATTAGCTGTCTACTTTGATAAGGAGAAACTGCTCTCATTTCTACTCTTGGGTTCCCCGGGGGTACAGTGTGTACTAGAAGTGAGATAAATGCTTGATTCTCCCCTTATATTTCTCTGTTTTCAAAATGATGACTTGCTTTCCCCATGGATGCCAATGGTTTTTACATCTGTGAGTCCTGTTCTCAAGGATTTTGGGTACAATTAGAATTAGAATGTCAAATAATTACTCATTTGTTTATCTCACAACACACACACACACACACACACACACACACACAGAATAGTCTCGAAATGATGATACCAATGCTACCAGCAATAATATGATTACCAAAAACTTAACATTTTTACAGGTCTTTTTATCCTTAGGATATATGCCACTAGGTCATGTAGTCAAGTCCCTCTCTGTGTGAGTATGCCACTGAGTGGAGATGCATTTAGGTACATTTATTTTGTTTTTGATTTTCAGGGATTGCTTTTTAAGTTTTAATTTTGTTTTATGATTATGTAATAAAATAGCTTGAAGTTTCCAAATTGAAATCTAGCAAAGAAAGTGTATTTGAAGAAGTCTAGCTTCTCTGCCTGCCCACCCCCGACCTGATTCCCTCCCTTCCTATATTTCTTAGAATCACTTTGCCTAGAAGTTGACTTTGATTCTCTTGCTCATTTCTTCATGAAATCAGTTCTGGAACTTTCAGGAGGGAGGAGCAGGCTGGGACACTGCTCTGGTTGCTAGAAGTTCCTTTTTTTTTTTTTTTTTTTGCAAGCACAGAAATGAAGTTTATTGTTTATTGAGGAAAGAAAGACAGGATTATAGGGCAAGAGCGTGATATAGGTTAACAGAGCATGGTACATACGCCACAGATGACGACCGGACCCATTGTCACAGCAAAGGGAGAGCCAAAGGAAGGGCGCAAACAGGAGGTTGCTAGAAGCTCCTCTCCCCTCCCTGACTTTCGCATGGACCCTCCTTTGTCCCTCTTGTCCCAATTTGGACTCCATCGGTTGTCAGGGAACTATCAGGGACTCTGCTGGCTGCCTTGTTTTGAGAGGTTGTAGCACCTAGATTGTTCTACTCCCCTGCACTTTCCTGCAACTGGAGGATCTCGAACACCTCTCAGTTTCAGCTACTCTTCTCAAATTAACCTGCTGTACTTTCTGGGAACAATCTGTTGGCAGGTTAGGGATTCTCTGTTCCTGGGTCCATCAGCAGCCCCATCGCTCTTCTCTGCTCCCTTCTGCGCAGACACTGATCCCATGCAGGTCTTGAGTTGTCGACAGTCTGTCCCTGTTGTTCATATTGGGGGTTCCTGGGGTCCTGTGCCATCTAGCATGGTTGCAGATATTGTTAATGGGTTTCTGGGAGCTCCCTATATTAGGTGCAAATGGGGCCCAGGCACAGCAGGAAGAAGAGGTGTCATGGGGTCCAGCTGTACTAGGGGTGAGATTTACCTGTCTCTCCTAGCCACAGCCAGGAAGTCCCCGTTTTTCTTAAGCTAGTTCAAGTTGGATTTTTGTAACACACAACCAAAGAATCTTGGGAAATCCAGGAGACTCTCCGTGGATGCTTTCACAGGTGTGCCCAGAGGCCTAATATGGCAGCGAGGACTGTGTTCTGCCAGAAATGATGGTGGTGGAAAAGGTCTTTCCAACACGAAAAGGTGTAGAGCCACTGTATTATAATAAAGATGAGTTACCCCTCCTTTTTATTCTGTATGAATTTCTTAGGGCTGTCATGACAAAATACTGGCATCTGAGTGGCTTAAACAACAAAAATTTATCATCTCCCAATTCTGGAGGCCAGAAGTTTGAGACCAAGGTGTCAGCAGGGTTCGTTCCTACTAGTGACTCTGAGGGAGAATCCAGTCCATGCCTCTCCCCAGCTTCTGGGGGTGCCTTTGAAATCCTGTGGCATCCTATGGAAGCATCACCCCACTCTCTGCCGTCGTTTCCACATGACATCCTGTGTGTGCGCAAATGTCCCCTTTTTATGGGAACACCAATAATATTGAATTGGGGACCATACTAATGACCCTGTTTTAATTTGGTCATCTCCATAAAGACCCTATCTCCAAAAACCATCACATTCTGAGGTACTGGGGCTTAGGACTCCAGTATTTGAATTTCATTAATTCACTCATTCATTCACTTTCTGAGCATCTGTTGTATGCCGGATGCTATATGTGACCATACATGAGGCACAGTCTCTGGTGAGGGAGACAAGACTTATATTTGTGTCTTAGTACCAGTTGCTATAAGAAATTACCATAGATTGGGTGGCTATTAAACAACAGAAACTTATTTCTCACAGTCTGGAAGCCGGAAGTCAGGGTGCCAGCATGGTTGGGTCCTGGTAAGGGCCGTCTTCCCAGTTGCAGACTGTCAGCTTCTCACTGTGTCCTTACATGGTAGAAAGAGAGCTGGAGAACTAGAGAGCGCTCTAGGGCTTCTTCAATATGGGCACTAATCGTATTCATGAGGGCCCCAACCCACTCCACTTGCGTGACCTAAATCACCTCCCAAAGGCACCATCTCCTAATCCAATGACCTTGGGGGTTAGGATTTGAACACAGGGACTCATAAGGGTGCTACAGTACATGGCAGAGCATGGCAGACGCGTGGGCTTCCCAAGGGGCTGAGTTGATAGCAGCTGGGGAAATGGAAAGGCTTCCAGAGGCAAAGGCTTCTGAGCTGGGCTTTACAGTATGAAAGGGTTTGTCCGTGGGAAGACAGATGACTCTGGGAGCAAAGACGTGACAACAGAACGTGTTCCCAGTGTTCCTGGGAAGCAGCACAGGAAGTGGGGCTGGGGGAAGGGAGGGGGCAGGGGTGCAGGGGCAACACTGGGTGGAGATGAGGAGTTCTGTAAGATTCAAGGTGCCAGTGCGGGTAACCAGCAGGCGACAGCCTCTGGCATGAGAGACAGGATGGAGGGGAGGATGAAGATGGGCAAAGCTAGAGGGAAAGAGCTGGTTGCACAAATGAGGGTGTCAGGCAGGAGGGTGGGGAGGGCTGCGGGGGGGCTCTGATGGAGCGGGGCAGGGCGAGATCAGGGTGGTCTGGGTGGGTGACGCTGCTGCCCAGCTCCTCTCTACTCTGTACCTCCTGCCTCCAGGCCCCTTTGAAGGCCCCAATTACCACATTGCTCCCAGGTGGGTGTACCACCTCACCAGCGCCTGGATGATCCTTGTGGTCGTCGCATCTGTCTTCACTAATGGGCTTGTGCTGGTGGCCACCATGAGGTTCAAGAAGCTGCGCCACCCTCTGAACTGGATCCTGGTGAACTTGGCAATCGCTGACCTAGCAGAGACCATCATCGCCAGCACTATCAGTGTTGTGAACCAGATCTATGGCTACTTCGTGCTGGGCCACCCTCTGTGTGTCTTGGAGGGCTACACTGTCTCCCTGTGTGGTAAGCTGGTCAGGGCCCAGGCTCAGGGGAGACCCAGCCTGGTATATGTAAAGAAAATATTCACACAGCAAACCCCAAGCTGGCAGTGCATGCATGTGAGGCACAAATGCAAAGGGAGACAGACCCACAGGGTCATCAGAGGGGTGGGAGGAGGGGCTCACAGGGTTCTGGAGGCTTCCATTTAAAGTAGGGAGCACCCACTTTAAATTTGGCTTTCTTGAGTCCAACACACCCTGAGTTCCTACTCTCGAGTCAGGCTCTGCCCAGGGACGGCCAGTTTGGGGCTGTGGAGCTGGCATGGGAGAAGACAGATATGGAGCCAGATAATCCCAACACAGTATGGGGGGACACCCTGGACAGAACTCCCACCCAAACCAGGGATGCACATCCTTTCAGCTCCCCTGTGTCTGCTCTTCCTCTACAAAAGACACAGTTCCCATTAGAGCTCTCAGGACACTACAACTAGAGCCTAGATCCCTTCCCCCATCCCCATCACTAATACTTCTGTGGGCCACCATTCCACTCAGCTCAATAAACAGTGGCTAAGAAGTGCTAGTGTGCCAGACTCTGTGCTGAGGAGGGGGCCTTATGCCCACATAGTGACCACATAGTGCCATCAGCAGTGCTCTCAGGCAGGAAGGGGGCTGGGGCAGGGTGGCTGAGGAGAGGCCGGGAGCAGTTGGTGGTCCAGTCAGGGGAAGAGGGGAGGCCTTGGATGTCATGCTGAGGAGCTGGGACTTTATTTCAGGTGGATGAGACTGGAGGTGGGAGACCACACTTGCCTTGCCTGGCCCTCAACATGGACAGAAGTAGCTCCTGCACTTGCTGGCCCCACCCCCACCCCACATGACTGCCTCTCCCTGTGCAGATGATGGCCCAGACCACACAGCGCACTTGCCAAAGCCAGGGAAGGTCAGGCAGGGAAAGGCCGTGCCCAAAGTCCGAGTGCTCTGCAATGGGCGTGGCCTCAGTGTCAACTCCGCCCTTCCCTACATCTGGGCCTATGTCTCATTCTGCCTGTGCCGGGGTCTCCCGCTCGCTTTTGCCTCTCTTCATGGTCTGTTCTTGGGGCACTCGGGTGCCAAGCAGCCAGTGCTTCTGCACCAGTTTTGGTGTCACAGACACCCTTGGCCCTGTGGGAAGCCTGCAGACCCCATCTCAGAAGAATGTTTGCAAGTGTATGAAATGAGATCTATAGGCTACAAAGGCAGCCAATTATATTGAAAAATAGTTATCAAAGTATTAAATGTTAATTAGTAAGATAGTCTTTCATGAAAAGTATTAGTATTAAAGCATTTATTAAAAGTATTCGTGACACCATTCTGTACTAAAGTGTTAAATAACAGGATCTGGCCTGAAAAAACTGCTGAGATTTCAAAGTAGTGATGAGCAAAAATGATATTTCAGAATGTCTGCCACCTCTGTAAATTGATATGACATCTGTGAGTTCTCTTGCCGACTGAGTCACGGGTACTGCTAACACTGCTATGTTCGTAAAGGAAGGAAATTCCAAGTGTCCACAAGAAGTTAGTGGAAAGGAAGATGTCTCCAATCCATGGAGCCCTGAGTTCCACACACAGACCTTGGACATCTAAGCAGGACAGAGTGGAAGGGGTGTGGATCGGGAATGTGGGCATGGGCTGGAAGGAGGGGCACAGGTTATTAGACACATCCTGTCTCCTTGCTCTTGGCTGGGACAACAGCACCTCAGTGTGGTCATGCTGGGGTAGAGGTGGCCATTAAGAGTTCTGTGGATGGCACCAAAGGAAGGGGCTGGCAGGTGAGCAGGCGCAGGGCCTCGTGGCTCTTGCTTGCTCCCTCCATGGGGATGGATGTGTGGACTGTGAGGACAGAGCTCCATGAGTTCGAGGTTCGCAGCTTCAAGATTCCGTGACTGAATTGGCAAGAAACTCAGTGGCCAAACCAGGAGCTCGGAGCTCCTGCTCCAGAGGGAAAGCAATTGAGGTCAAGAGGAAAAGAAAGGGGAAAGAGAGGCAGAAAGCAGGAGAAATTAAGCCACTGGGATCAGTGGGGAGCAAGGTGGGAGAAGAGGCAGACTGAGATGGCGAAGGAAAGAGAAGTAAATTGACGAGCCAGCCTTTGGCCAAGAGGCCCACTGCACCTTGGACCCGAAAACACTTTTTAGAGAATTAGGTCTTGCAGCCACATGGGAGGACACCTCTCTATCTTGAAAGCTGTCAGCTAGTCCGGAAAGGAAGAGGTGTTGTTGGAAGCTGTTCCTCCTTTGCTCCGGATCAAGGCCCTCATCTGTCTGCTCTCCCCTGTAGGGATCACGGGTCTCTGGTCCCTGGCCATCATTTCTTGGGAGAGATGGCTGGTGGTTTGCAAGCCCTTTGGCAACATGAGATTTGATGCCAAGCTGGCCATCGTGGGCATCACCTTCTCCTGGGTCTGGGCTGCTGTGTGGACGGCCCCACCCATCTTTGGTTGGAGCAGGTAAGGATGCAAGGGTGCCAGGAAGGTGGCTTGTTTGGGACGGAGCAAGGAGGGTCAGACTTTGTGACTTTGGGGCACATCACTTTCTGTCTCTGGGCCCCTTTGAGCATGCAATGTCTGTGAATGTATGAACCTGTTTGGCTGCAACACAGAACAGAGAAATGGGCTCCATGGTCCCGAGCCTCTGGAGACATTTGTTTCTCCTAAGCATGAGCAGCTCATGGGAGCACACATGGCTGTGACTGAACTCAGGGCATGTTTGGACTCCAGGCCTCTTTCTTGCACATTTTGCCCATCCCCCAGCCCACATTCAGAGGTTACTTGGGTTGCAGTCACACCTGTGCCTGTAGGTCATCTGTGTCCTGGCCAGGCCGATTCTTTGGTGGAAGACCCAGGTTTCTGAGTAAGTGGCTCAGAAGGACTGGACAGGATAGCATTTCGCTGTCTTACTCGACAAGCTCATGAATAAGTTCTCGGGAAGCTTCCAGTGTTCTGGGAAACGAGCCTTGTGAAAGCCCATTTTCATCTCCCACCTCCTCACACCAGTTACCAAGCATGTGCCTTGTGCTGCCCTGGTGGCAGCGCTACCCTGGGTTATCTCACTTTATCCTTGTGGCCACCTGGTGAGCAAATCCCTTAGTTATAGTCAGAAAAAAGATTCAGGTATTCATAGGCGTTCTTAGAAGTCAGAGGAAGAAGGAACCTCACCCTCGCTTTGTCAAAGGGGGCATGATTGGGGTGATGAAAATGTTCTGGAAGTAGATGGACTAAATGCCACTAAATTGTTCACTTCAAAATAGTTAATCTCGTGTAATGTGAATTTCACCTCAATTAAAAAACCACGCCCAGCTGCTGGCTCTTCTCTCCAGGTACTGGCCTCATGGCCTGAAGACGTCGTGCGGCCCCGACGTGTTCAGCGGCAGCTCATACCCTGGGGTGCAGTCCTACATGATCGTGCTCATGGTCACGTGCTGCATCATCCCCCTCAGCATCATCGTGCTCTGCTATCTCCAGGTGTGGCTGGCCATCCGAGCGGTAAGCCTCCCGCTGGCAGGACATCTACGCGGGCCAGAGGATCACCAGTGCGCCCTCCTCCCTCCAAGCTGCTCTGCCCCCAGATCAGTCCACTGAGACTCCTGAACTATTTTTTAAAAATCCTCAGATAAGAGGATTCTACCCCTGTAAGAAAATATTAAGTAAGATCCAGCGACATGAATCAGGCAATCCTTTGGTACTGCACTCTGGGGTTCTTGTGCTGGCTGCAGTCTCAGCCCAGGCTCCCTTGTCCCACCCCTGTGGGATGGGATGGGACTGCCCACTCCCTTCCTGGGTAGCCCAGTAAGGCAGCAGAGCTGCGCCTTTCCCCTGACCCAGGACAGTTCTCCTGGGGTGCGAACGCCTACCTCTCCCATGGAATGCGGGGAGCAGGCAGATCAGCAGATGAAACTTGCAACTCAAAGGGTGTTTTTAAAAGGCTGCCCCGGTAGCATCCTTGTGCCTTTCATGGGGCTGTTGGGGCAGCCAGGGAGTGGACTCGAGTGTGCTGTTTGCCCCCCAGCCCCACTCCCCACCCTCCCTATCTGGCCCTCTGCCTGGGAAGCCCATCCTGTCCACAGCCAGGGCTGCCACACCCCCCCCACCCATAGGCTGGGCTACGCTGGAAATCAGAGTGAGGGAGGAGAGGGAGGCTGGGCCTGCGGGCCTGAGAGCTCTGCGCTCCCCTTCTGCAGAGAAGCCACCCCTTTGTCAATCAACTCCCCTACACTTAGCTTGATCTAGATGTGCCATCTGTTAACTGGCAGGACCCTGCCTGGCATAGGTGGTGGAAGGCCCTTCACATTGGTGCCTTTCCTATCTGAAGCGGCCTATGCCCACGGTTAGATCAGCATGTGCTTCCAAGCTCTTTCTAGGGGAGTCCATGAGCTTCAGATAAGCTCTCCTCACCTCACAGCCAGGGACTGCAGGCTCCTGCAGGTATCCAGCTGTGGCTTGGCCGTGGCTTTGGCCGTATGGGTTCTGGGCTGGTGGAGCCCAGGCTCCAGAACGTGGCCCCAGCCTTGCTGTCCCAGCCCTCCCAGGATATCAGCCTTCATAGTCCCTCTTTCATCCCCACTCAGCTGCCTGCCATCAGTCCCCTGCCCACAGCAGACAGTGGCTGGCCTCTGTGACTTCTGCCCAAGTCCCTGTGCCTGGAGGCCATTTGTCTCCTTCCTCCCCTCAAGACAGCTGCCCTCAGCTTCCCTTGGAAGGAACATTTATGCCTCACAATGAGTCCAGAACCAGGATTTAGTCCACAGACTGGCTAATCCTGGTCCAGAAAGCCCAAGAGGGCCAGGTGCAGTGGCTCACGCCTATAATCCCAGCACTTTGGGAGACTGAGGTGGGAGGATCACTTGAGGCCAGGACTTTGAGACCAGCCTGGGCAACATAGCAAGACCCCTGTCTCTACAAAAAAAATCTTTTAATGAGCTGGGCGTGGTGTTGCGCACCTGTAGTCCCAGCTACTGAGGAGGCTGAGACAGGAGGATCACTTGAGCCCGGCATTTCCAAGCTGCAGTGAGCCATAATCGTGCCACTGCATTCCAGCCCAGGCAACAGAGCCACACCCTGTCTCTAAAAAAACAACAAAAAAGAAAGAAAGCCCAAGGGAGTTGTCTTTATTGCTCTGGCATTGCCATTGGGCTCCTCACCAGCCACTGGTTTAGCTAAAGAAACGCCAACTGCTTTCACCCTCCCACCACCATCTTCTGTCTTGTTAGCACTTTCATGCTTCACTCTGTCTCTGGTGATCAGTTGAGGCCTCCACACCCAGACCCGAGCACAGGAGAGGACACCCAAACTCCTACCGGCTAAAGCCAGAACTTTGAAGACTCTGGTGGTCATCTTAGACCAGGCCTCGCTGCTTGCTACCTCAAAGCCTAGAAGAACTGCCGTAGAAGAGCCAGCCAAGGGCTCTCTCATGTGTGCCTGGGGCAGGTTGTGCTGGGACTCAGAGGTGGAAGGTGGCTGCTGGCTGGTAGGGTTGGGTAGCAAGTAGGTACATCTCCTCCCCCTCACGACTCCCTATCCCTGCCTATCGCTGCCCCCCTGACTCACCCAAGCAATAGCACCATGAAGTCTTTTCAGATACAGAGCCCTGGGTGACTCCCCCACTCACCGTCCCTGTATCTCTCAGGTAGCAAAGCAGCAGAAAGAATCTGAGTCCACCCAGAAAGCTGAGAAGGAGGTGACACGCATGGTGGTGGTGATGGTCCTCGCATACTGTGTCTGCTGGGGACCCTACACCTTCTTTGCATGCTTCGCTGCTGCCCACCCTGGCTATGCCTTCCACCCTCTGATGGCTGCCCTGCCAGCCTACTTTGCCAAAAGTGCCACCATCTACAACCCCATTATCTATGTCTTTATGAATCGGCAGGTAAGTAATTCCATTGTTCAAACTCGAAGTACTGTTTCTCCTGGAAGAACCCAGTGATGGCTCCCACCTGGAATTTTGTCTCTAATGAGGAGCCCATGGAGCATCTGGGGGAGGCTGATAATGATCCCCCAAGAAAATGACCAAGAAAGGGCTCAGCATGGCCCCAGCCCCAGCGGACCTCCACCTGGCCATTAGCAGAAGGCTTGGTGTCCTTTAATGTCTCAGCCTGAGGGTGGCATTTGCAGAAGTCTGTGTGTGCTGTGTATACTCCTCTGTGCTGGTGGCCCTAGAGCTCTGACTGTCAAGTTTCAGGGGCTCCCCTGGAATCCAGATGCTCTAGGACTTTGTGAATATGTCTACGTTTACCCTAGGTGTGCCCCTCTTGGTTTTCCAGACTCAATTCTTCTCTCAATCTTCAGCTTCCCATTTTCAAACCATAACTTCTCAAATTTGTCTTCCTGTAAGAACAAAAGCAGGTCTTTCTTGGCTGCACTGACCAAGAGTTCAAGAGCTTTTATGAATTGGTGGGTTAGTTCAGGGGGAGTTACTCTGGCCTTGCCCAGTGGCAGCCACCATTAGTTGGTGTATTGGGCCTCAGCAGCAAGTTGCTCATGACTCCTAGATCCCTCCCGGCAAGTTTCAGCCTTACTCTTCCTTGAACCATCTCATACGCTTCATTAAAGTGCAGCTGGCATGTGACTTGATGGTGACCAGAAAGGTCCACAGGAGCCTCCCATTTCGCCAAACCAAATCCATCCCTTCCAAGCAACTCACTCAATGGCTCCATCCCCTTTGGCTTGGCCATGATTCGCACAAGCCAGGGACAAAGTCAGTACAGTTCATTAGGCATGAATTCTTCCTGGTAACTTTTAAATAGTAAGTAGGACCAGGCCCACAATGGATTCCCAGGAACTCCGTTGTTGCCACATTGATGCTCAGAGACCCCTGTTTCCTGTCTTTCATGAGGATCTTTTTTTTAGGTCTGGTTTTGGTTTTTGGAATCCTAAACTATCTTGCCAAGGACAGTCTTTACTCGATTCTTTCCATTCTCCTTTCCAGAACTCCCCCTCCTAGACAGATGTCTCTGCACTTTGCTTTCACCCTTCCACATTGTTATCCTGTCCTGCTGCATTCTGAGAGTTTTCTGGAATGACATTCCATGAGGACAGGGAATTTTGCTCTTTGTGCTCACTGCTGTGATCCCTTGGAGCACAGAGTCTGGTATACAGTGGGTGCTCAGTAAGTGGATGTGGATGAATCAGCCGCATGAATTCCTCAGCCCTATCTGCCGGCTGTTCAGCTGAGTTGATTCCGCTGTTCAGCCCATTTCTTACGTTATTAATTTCAACAATCGTGTGTTTTATTTTAGAGAATTTTGACAACAGAGGGAGCTGGAAGTAGTCAAGAGTAGGCCTGAAAGTTTTGGGAACCACCTTTGGTCTGGGTTCTCAAAGCACTGTGGTTAGTTCAGTGATGATATGAGACATATTTGATAAATTAACAGGGCCCAGATCTCTTTAGGGATGAATCAGCAGAGAGCACAGCCCTGCTGGTACCAGAAGACTCTCTTGGCTGAAGAGATGAGGTAAGCAGCTACACCACTGCCTACCTAGGCTTCGTCTCTCCCCAAAATTGACCGACTGGAAAAAAGATAACAATCACATTCCTTTTCACTAAAATGCCTCTGAGCCCCTTACCAGACAGTCTGGAAACAGATCACTGTATGTATGCGCTCCTTAGCTGACATCGTGTTTGGTCATTGTATGAGGGTCCTGGGGCTGCCATAACAAACTACCACAAACTTGGTGGCTTAAACAGCAGAAATTGATTCTCTCACAGTTCTGGAAACCAGAAGTCTGAAATTAAGGTGCTGGCAAATGAAGGTGTCTCTCCTGGAGGCTGCGGGGGAGAATCAGCCCCAGGCCTCTCTCCCAGCTTCCGGTGTTTGCTGGCAATCCTTGGTGGACCTTAACTTGAAGACATGTTACTCCAATGTCTGCCTTCATCTTCACATGGCCTTCTTCCCTCTGTGTCTGTGTCTCTGCGTCCAAATTTTCCTCTTCTGATAAGAACACCAGTCATTAGATCAGGGCCCACCATAATGCAGTATGACTTCATCTTAATGCACATCTTCGTTACAACTGCAAAGACCCTATTTCCAAATAAGGACACATTCACAGGTTCCAGTGGTTAGGACTTGAGCGTATCATTCTGGGGGACACAATTCAATTCACAATGCTCACCATTGTGCATCTAACTGACTTAGATAACCCATGTGCAAGGGGTAACCTGAGCCTCCCCCAATCCTCCTGATTCGATTCTGAATGGTAGAAGGGAAGATGTTAAGTCATCAAGGTGACACTTAATGAATGCCCCAAGCCTTACCTTTAACACAGTGCACTGGCCCTTCCTGCTCTGCTGAATAACTCTTCCTGTCCTTCCAGTTTCGAAACTGCATCTTGCAGCTTTTTGGGAAGAAGGTTGATGATGGCTCTGAACTCTCCAGCGCCTCCAAAACAGAGGTCTCATCTGTCTCTTCAGTGTCACCTGCCTGAGGTCTGCCTCCTACCCATTCCACCCACTGGGGCTTTGGCCACCTCTTCCTCCCCTTCTCCTCCATCCCTATGAAATAACTGTAATTTCTCTTTGCCAAAACCAACACAGTCACAGAGGCTTTCACTGCAGTCTGGGGCCACCTAAGTCTTTGGGTGTTCAGGCCCTGGGTCTCGAGAGGGCATCAGGGGGATAAAGAGGAAAGCAGTGCTTCATAGACTTTAATTTTCTCCAAGCCTCATGTCTACAGATGGCATGGAAGGATCGTGGTGAAATGGAAGTGCAAGGCAGGTAGATGTCTGCACACATCTCCTTAGGCTGGTGGTCACGGAATCAGAAAGCAAGAACTGCAAAGTGGCTATCTGGGGAGAGCCAGAAGGAGGGCAGAACTAGCAAACTCAGGCCTCTTAAGGTCCATCTGATGGAGGATTGGAGTCCTTGGAGTACAGTCTCCATCTGGAGGGGACCCACACCTGCCAGTCCAAGGTGGGGATGGCGTTCCGCTTCTGCCAGGCCAGGGCCCCGAGCCCAAGCACCATGAGCGCAGTGCAAGTGCGCAGGCGTGAGTTGACCAGCGGCAAGGGGAAGGCGCAAATGGTGGAGACAGAGACCAAGAGGAGGGTGGCCAGTGTGAGGAGCAGGCTCACGAATCTGAACAAAAACTCCCGGGGACGGCTTCTGAGGTTCTCTGTCATCTCCAGTTGGGTGATTTGCTGTAAAGTTTCCAGCTTGGCTATTCGGCTCTTGAAAGTCTCCATGACCTCCTGCAGGAGACAAAAACACACACACTCACAAGAAGTCAGAACAGAACTGTGGTCATTTAATTGGGTTCCTAAAGAGGGTGCAGCAAGTATCATCGAGTTGAATGTCTTAGGAGGGAAGTGGAGAAGTTAGAGCACATCCAATGAAGAGACAGAGTGGCTGCCAGGGCCCGTCAGGAACAGCCAAGGCTCGTCTGACTCAACCACACTCCCTTATCCATTGTCTCCTAAGACTGAGGGCCTGCTGGGGATAGAGCTAACCTAGGACAGGAGTAGGAGCTCTGGGTATGGAAAAGAGTGAGGAGAGGGAAGCCAGGTCTAAAGGAGGGGTTCTCAGAGGGCACTCCCTGCACCCACAGCACCATCTGAAGCAGCCCCATCCCAGATCTCCTGAGTCAGAGGCTCTGGGCTGGGGCCCAGCCACCGCCTTGGAACAAGCCTGCCAGGTGGTTCTGATGAGCCCTCAAGGTTGAACACTGCAGCGCCAAAGTTCCAAAAGCAACTAAGCCAGATGGTTGGAAGCGGAACATGCACATAAAGACTGGACGCTGCTAGCTCTAAAACAAGCATGTGTGTTCCCATGGAACCCTCAGCAGGGGTATATAGCTCAAAGATCCGGGTCTTGCTTTGGTTTAGAGGTATCAGGATGGATTCACCACTCATCCCTACATCCTTCTCACTGGCCATTTCTTGAAAGGCTCCCCCATGAGGTTCTCACCCATATTTCCTTGTCTCTCTCATAGGACAGATAGGCCATTTTCTCTTCAGTGCAGGCCAGATTCTGTTTGAGGTGGTAAATCTCATCCAGGTGGCCCTGCAGGTGATCGTTCACCTGCTCTTCCATCAATGTTTGTCTTGGGAGCAAAAGAGAAAGTAATATTCCATTAGTACCTCGCCCAGAGCTCGTACTGACAGTGAGCAGTCCTAAACCTACACTAGACTTGGGTTCCAATTTTGACTTCCTCCTCTCTCCTCAGACTCTAGTCAAAGCCTGCCTCCTCTCCCAGGTCTTCCTAGGAACTCCCACACACAGATCAGTCAAATGCACACCGACATTCATATATATTTTATATATAGTTATTCTTTTGTAACAGCTTTACGAAAACAGCCATAGACTAAAAGTGGTAGAAACTAAAACCTAAACTCTCTGCGTATGCTATTAAATTCTGCAAATATCCCAGGACCAGTGTTTAGCATGCAGTAGTTACTCTATAAAAACATGTTGATTATAGAGATTGAGCAGTCATAAAAGACAACATAGTGTGTGACTCCATCTCTGTGAAATGTCCAGAAGAAGCGAACCCACAGAGACAAGAAGCAGATGAGGAGGTGCCAGGGCTGGAGGAGGGAGATGGAGAGGGGCTGTAATGGGGACAAGATTTCCTTTGGAGATGATGAAATTCTGTGGAATTAGATAGTAGTGATGATTGCACAACTCTGTGACTATATTAAAAACCACTGGAATTTTATGGGATGTGAATTATATCTCAATAAAGCTGTTATTTAAATAAAAATGAAAAATTGGATTGTGGTAATAGTTGCACAACTCAGTAAATTTACTAAAAACCATTGAAATGTAGTTAAAACAGTGCATGTTATGACATGTAAATTATATCTCAATAGAGCTGTTAAAAACCACAAGCAAAACATCACAACCTGTTGTGTATGCATGGAAATGAGCACCCAAATGAGGACACAGAGGCCAGCAGAAGGGAGATGGGGTGGGAAGGGGTAATGAGAGAATTTCAACTGAATCTTTTAAGGTTTCTTAAAAAATAAGACTTGAAGCTATAAATCTGGCCAGTGTTAAGAGCTGAAGAAGCTGGGGCTGTTAATTTTGCTATTCTCTACATTTTCCCTGGGTTTGAAATATTTCATAACCTAAAATCTTTTTTGAGGTTCTTCATTTGGGCGCGGAGAAGGACAGGCCAGAAGGACAGAGGCCATGTGGCATGTCATTTAGGGCAGAGCCAGGGAAGTCTTGACCCAAGCCAGCGGCGGTGATGCCAGAGAAGAGGGAAGGTACTGCAGAGCAAAGGAGCCCACTGCACGGAGGGAGGATGGCAGCAGGCCTGGTGTAGACAGTGGTGCTCGTGCACACGGGGAAGGCCAGGGCTTGACTGACACCACAGGGAGAAACACCCTAGACAGCCAGTTCCCAATAGCATTTCAAGGAATATTCCATTTGTCTCTGCCCCAGATCCCTGTTGAGAAGACAAGTGGCTGACGACATGGACTAGGCTACTGCTCACAGGGATGGGGAGTCGGTCAGCAGGGTGTCCATCCCGAAAATAATTCCTCATTAGTGTCTTTCCACCTACACGAAAGGTCTGGCCATAAGAATATTCAAGATATTAACTATGCTCAAGTATATATGCATGAATATGTTCTTCATGAATATGCAGCTGGTGAATAGGTTCTTCATCAATATAAGAATATATGAATATATTCTTGAATGCATTCTTGAGCAGATTATTGAATAAGAAGATGTTAATAAGCAATATTTTCATAAGGGTATTCTCTCAGTCGGTCTCTCCTTCTCTCTGCCCTCTGGCAGCAGTGGCCTGCCTATGACATGGTTGACTCTCTCCCTATCTCTTCCTTGGTCAAGGACCCCTCTCCCTCCAGTTCCTACAGTCACAGAAGCAAATGGAAAACTCTAGAAAATGTTCTGTAAAGACAAAATGATGGCCAGTCAACCAAAACAATTCAAAATATTCCAAAGCTATTAAAGCCACCCTTTCCAATATGAATGGTTCTAAACTTTATCATTTTTTTCAAAAGAGTGTATTCTTGATAATTTCTGAGAATTAGCTTTTGGCAAATTGAGCTAGAACCGAATGGCCTGCAACTTGGAGGAAAAATCCAAGATGGAGAAATGGCTATAGGAGGGGCCAGGTAGTATGGGGATGGCAGGTTAACGTGGCAGAGATGGATGAGCTCGGCCTGAGCACATGTGCAAATTGAAGAGTCCTGGGGAGCAGGGGGAAGAGCCAATGAAGGAGAAGCCAAAGTAGTGGGAAAATAACCTGAATAGTGGTGTCACGTGGGAGCCGAAGTTAGGAAGTGTTTAAGAAGGCAGAATGGTAAACAGCATCAAATGTAATTGGTAAGGTAAGGAAGTCAGAGTGTTGACTGAACATTAAGAAAGAAAGCATTTGAGATCTTGGGGTAAGCCTTTCCAGTGAAGTGGCAGTGACAGAGGCCAGACAGCTGTGGGCTGAGGGGGAGTGGGAGGCCAGGCAGTGGGGGACAGTCAATGGAAACAATTCTTCAGAAGCCTGACTGGGAAGGGGGAGATCGTATTTATTCACTGAAAGAAAGAATCCAATAAAGCATGCAGGATGGCAGATACACGAAAGAGACCAAAGTCCCTGAAGAGACTGACAAGATCGAAAGCAGAGCACAGGTACAAGCTGGAAATCACCACTGCAACCCAAGGGGAGAGAGAAATATTCTGAAGGGAGGTGGTGCAAGGTGGTGGGAACCTGCTGGCCCTACTTGCCCTGTGAAGTCAGAGCAACTGAAGGTAAGGACACAAGGCTGAGAGGAAACGGGTGGATTCCAGGAAAGTGGTTCAGAGGGCTGGCTCTGGGATCGAGTTGCCCTAAGTTTAAGTTTCCTCTCTGGCACTTGCTTGGACAAGTCATTTAACCTTTTTGTGCTTCAGAGAGGTTGAGAATAGTGATGACAATAATAATAATACCATCGACCCATTAGGTTTGTTTCAGACATTACACGAGAGAGTACATATAAAGCACTGACATGCTGCCTGGCAGACAGAAGTGCTTACTAAGTGATAGTTGTCGTTGTTAATAGTATTAAATGTCAGGGCCGGTCGGGCACGATGGCTCACGCCTGTAATCCTAGCACTTTGGGAGGCCGAGGCGGGCGGATTGTTTGAGCTCAGGAGTTCGAGACCAGCCTGAGCAAGAGCGAGATCCCTTCTCTACTAAAAATAGAAAGAAATTAATCGGACAACTAAAAATATATAGAAAAAAAATCAGCCGGGCATGGTGGCGCATGCCTGTAGTCCCAGCTACTCGGGAGGCTGAGGCAGAAGGATTGCTTGAGCCCAGGAGTTTGAGGTTGCTGTGAGCTAGGCTGACGCCACGGCACTCTAGCCCAGGCAACACAGTGAGACTCTGTCTCAAAAAAAAAAAAAAAATGTCAGGGCCAAGGATCTGAATGTGTGAATGAAGGCCAAAGAGCAGGTAAGATAGCAGTGAGAGATAAGGAGGACAGACAGGAGCTGTGGCTGCAGAAGAGGAGGGTAGACTTGAAGATGTCTGAGATGAGGAATATTGTGGAGGGGATGGCAAGGTCCGGTGTGTAACTGTGGAGC